TAACGTTATAATGCAATATACTAATGTGCTATATGATTATTATTACGTATCATTATGTATAGTATAATTGTATAATGCTGCCATGCATGGACTGACGCATTACCTGAAGGTCGCTATTTTGTACAAGACAAAGCTGGGTAAACTTGTGCTGATCTTGTGCCTGATGAATTTGCTTTTGTTCCACCCCTGCCCCTCTTTTGGTCTTTGCCAGAAGACTGGCTCTCTTTTAGTGGACATATATAAGCTAGTTTATCCCTTTAAACGTAAGCACAGTGAAGTCAACATGTGTGTTCATAGGTATTTTGATAATATTATTTGTTGTTTTTTAAAAGAAAGAAAAACAAAGCTGCATTTGTGTGGGTGCAGCACAAGGGGAAGCTTTTCTTAGCTGTGTCTGTCCATCCAGATATTCCCTTATCTCCCGTCCATACACTCTGCTGCTTCTTCCACAACCGCCCAAATTGCCTCTAGTCCCAAGAGCTTTCCTTACCCTGGTTTCACACCCAGCAATCTGAGTGTGTAGCTTAGCTAAGAACCTGTGTCCAAGTGACTGTTGGTTACGCACGATCAGTTTATATACATGAACATAGAATTTAATCATCCTGGACTGACTTTACAGCACCTCCAAGCCACAATTCACCTCCAAGTCACTGCCTATGGAAACCAAGAAGGTGTCAGAAAAAAAAAAAAAAAAATAAAAAAATTACTGCTGCTCTGTCAGACAAACAAATACGAGAGGAGAGCCAGGACATTACCTTCTCCATAGCTGTATACACATTACCATGGGGAATGCCCCGACCGCGTAAAAGCTGCATAGCTTTAACTCCTCTCAGAATACAGGAAGCAGCATTTTATTTCTCCTCGTATTCTTCTTTAGCTGAATACAGAGGCACAATTTAAGTACAAATGAAGATTTTGCTGGTTTAGATTGAAGGGTATTTTGCTGTAAATCAGATAACGGGCCACTAGAAAGATCAGCCTACTGAAGATTGATGCAGATATTGTAGTAGTGCATGAGCGCTGTGATCCATTGGACTCTACTGTGCCGAGACAGAATTGTCTCTTCGTTCCTATCTATTGCTAATAAATACAAGAGTGACTGCAGGCTCCAGTCATTCTTGGATTGGAAGAAATGAAAATTTGGCTCGTTGAAATTCACGGACTTTTCATCCTAGAGGATTTATTACTTTTTTTCCCCCTCCTCTCTGATAATAACAGAAGAAATTCTGTAGCTGAAAAGGTAAGATTTTTGAACACTGAATACATCTATTCTAGATGAGCCATTTATCCCAAACTCTGTGTCTAAAAGGAAGAGAGAGCAATAATCCCTCATCTCCTGGAATCCCAGAATATTATTTTGGGTTTTGTTTTGTTTTGTTTTCTTCTATGCGCTAGGCTTTTTTAATTATGTGTTGAATCTAGATTTGTATGTCTCTTTTTCAGCCAAGAGTTGACATGACTTTGCTGGGTGGGATCTTCATTGCTAGCAGCCTTACAAGTTTCTTACATTAAACACAATTTGCAGTCATTCTAAGTTTTGAAAAAAATAACTTGGATACTCTTTGTCTTTTTCAAGGAGTAACTGGGTGACCTCTTACAGAGTGTTGGTGAGCAATGACAGTCATGCATGGACCGCTGTCAGAAATGAATCTGGAGATGTGGTGAGTATCATGAAATAGATATTTTATGAAGAAGAGCAGAGGTGGGAAAGTGGGTGCTGTCTACATGAAGTTTTGTTTTGCCCAGTTGGTCAGTATAAGTCTACAAGGCAACATCTCTCGTGATCCCACTAATTTTAAGAGCATGTCACGTAATATAGAGAGGGACACAGAATATCCTACATGACAAGTCTGTGTGGGTCTGCCTATGGATGGGAATGCCACCCTGGCAGTGGTCTTGCATGTGATATTTTTCTTGTTGAGGGATTCATGCAAAGGTTAGCAACAGTCTGCTGATCCCCGGGGAAATCTTGTGCCCATGAGGTGCCTTTTGCTGGAGAGAGGGTATAGAGCTCCAGCTCCTTTGCCCCTCTCTGAGGGACATGGGGAGACTGTGCTCTTTGAAGAGCAGTTCCAGCCTGAGCCACCATCAACGTGGGGGCTGTACCAGGTGACTTCATTTTTTTCTGATACCAAAATTCCTAAAAGGTTTTTTTGAAGGACTGATCTTGCCATTTCTGTATGTTTGGCCTACGTAGATTTTTGAAGGGAACAGTGAGAAAGAGATCCCAGTTCTCAACATGCTGCCGGTGCCCCTGGTTGCACGCTACATCCGTATAAACCCCCGGTCCTGGTTCGAAGAAGGTAGCATCTGTATGAGACTGGAAATCTTAGGGTGTCCTTTGCCAGGTAAGAGCCTTTCTCAGTTGGTGTTGACATGTCTGCCTGTGCCAAGACTCAGTAATTTTATTTCCTTTGTTTATGTTCACTTTTGATAGAATACCTGTCTTTAATGAGTGAAGTCATGCAAAAAGAAACAAAAATATTTGTCCAGATACAGGGACATATCAGGACAACTCTTCAAACGCAACTGCATTGTGACTATAAGTGGCTCTATTAATAAACCAAGACTGAATAGATGATCTAACAAGATTTTCTCTGTTGTTTGGGATGAAGAGCAGTGCAATTAATCTTACTGAGTGCACAGGTACTAGGGAGGCAATAGGATTATGTATCAGGACAGTCACTTGCAGATGTCTTAAACTTTTAAGTCAAGAAAGAACTGTTAGAATCATGTAGTCTGATTTTTTTTACATTATTTTATTTTATTGTACATGCCATAGGACTTCTCTGAATTAATTTGAAGGCAAATATTCTGACTGAACTAGTGCTTATCTTGTAGGGGGGAAGGAGGGGTGTTGGGGATGTAAAGAATTTCTATCAAATTTCAAGTATAATCAAATCCAGCATGATCCTTGGTAAATCTCAGGTGAAAGTAAATGTTCTTATCCTTGGCAAAGACAGTGGGAAAGGCACAGTCTAATATTTAGCACAAGTTTCAGGTGTTAGTTGTTTCTCTTATCATATGAGTGCAAAACACAATTAGAGTTTTTCTAAACCATGTATATGAAGTGAAACCTTATACGAGGCCAATTAAAAAAAAAAAAAAAGGTCATTTTAGTCATTCAATTCTGCAAATTATGGCAGACATGTTTCTATTAGGCACACTGCAAATAGTTTTACGGTGGATTTTTGTCTATGCATGTATGTATATCAATATTTGAAAAACTGTTCAAACTTTTTCTAAGTTGCCCACTACTCATTCTACATCTCCTTCTTTTCCTTTGATCTTTTTTTTTTTCCTTTTTTTTTTTTTTTCTCCTTTGATCTTAAATTCTGGCACCTTGGGGATAGCTCTTTCTTTTTTTTGCAGGGGGCTATGAATAGTATTTTCAAAAATACTAGAGCCAGAAAGAGAACTGCCTTTCCAGAGCCTATCATTACTGCTTTAACTGTTCCTGCTGCTGTACAGAGACTTGCTGCCTCCAATTCCACTGTTGATGTAGGGTCTTCACGTGCCAAGAAGAGGTAGCCTAATTTTTGTCCTTTAGATGTTTAAATACTCATGGGAAAAAAAAAAAATCTGGGGCACGGAAAGGATAATTCTCTGACAAAATATGGGGCAAGTATTGTCATAAAACTTAGGGTGTAGGTGTATTGCCATGAAGCAGTGAGAGTTAGCAGCACTTGATCATCTACTTTTCTGGGGATAACAAATACGTCCTGGACTTGAATGGCAGTGACCAGGGGTGTCCTGTGTATGCGAATATTCATGTTTTCAGTAGGATTCTGATTTATTTCAACCATAGGTTTAGAAACCTCCAGCTCTGTGGGTTGCTTGTTTCTCATTGTACCTTTAACCCTGGAGGAGCAATTCCAGAGCCAGTGTTTCCCTCCAGCTCTTGAATGAACTGGCGGGCTGTCGGAGAGCCGTGATCTATCTCAAATTCCTGTGTGGGTTTGCAGAGGATCCACTCTCTATAACGTGGTGTGAGGCTGAAGGAAAAGCGGAGCTTTCTTCTGCACTGTGACTTTACCGGCATGCAGGATGCACACGGAGGTCCCCAGGGAATAACAGTGATGACACTCAAACCATTTTGGAGAACAATTTGTAGGGAAACCCTCACAATACTTTTCTATTTCGTAAAACTACTTAAAGAGGAAAGAACAAAATTTTGATGCTTGGAAAGGTGATTTTTATTAAATGCAGCAGTTATTTTCACTAGATTCTTATCGGGTATACACCCATACAGGGGCAAATTCTGCTTTGCAGTGTTAACATTTGTCACCCTGCAGCTTCACGAGGCTGTATCAGTGGGTGAAGGTGCCACCGAGGTAAGAACATCTCTGCTCTTCCAACACTGCAATAAGTGCTGCTACAGCTTGTTGCAGGACTTGGATTAGCATGGCAACAGCATCAGTGCTTCCTCCTGGTAGTCATTTACTGAGTTAATTGCCTGCAGTGGCTGATTCAGTTTATTCCTGAAAGAAAATACCAGAATCATTCACTGAGAAACACAATGGGAATGGAGTGTCTTTATTCAAAATGTAATTTGACTGAAAGAACTAATAGGTTTTGATAAGCTGCTGACCCGTCTTTTTAGCTCAGAGAGAACTGACATTTCTTCCTTCTAGCTCATTTTATTCATCGCACGCAAGGCTCTCAAAACAACACTGTTCCCCCAGAACTAAGCAAGTCTCCTCGATTTATCACAACCAACAATCTGTCAGTTCACACACCTCTATCCTTTCCAAAGCCCAAAGACCCACAAAAGAAATTATATGATGCTCAATTCCTTTGAATACCCGGTATGTTTTTGATTCTATTTGCACCCTGAGTGTGAACGTACAAGAAGTTGTCAGGAGGAGCAGTCTGGGTGTGTTTTGGAGCTCCCACACACTGTGTCCTCCTGGGGCGGTAGCAGTGCACAGGCAGATGGGGTGTAGGGAAACACCCCAAGAAAAAAAAAAAAAAGTGGGGCTGAAGGAAAGTAAGTAATTTTTCATGAATGTGAATTTCTCTTCATATCTTTTAAATATGTAATGTTAGGTTTTATGTCCTTATTAATCCCTGAATTAAGTGATTTGCATTCAGTCTGTACTCTAGATCAACTTTCCATCATATAGGCTCACAAGGGGAGGTAAGGAAGGAATACCAGATAAAGAAGAAACCTGAATAAGATATTAATATTCTAGGAAAACTTGTTAGCACTGTCAGAATGTGATGGAAATGGTTAAAGACAGCCAGGACCCATTCCTGTGGGTAGGGCTCTATTAATAAAATCTCCTGCATATTCTAGGTGCGCTAAAAGTTGGACAAATCATGAGAAAATGCTATTTAGAACGGAGAAGATATTGATTATCTAATGGTATTATCTAAGATAGTTGTAATTTTTATCAGTGCAATGCTTATATATTATTCATAACACATTTTTGGTGTATTGTAGGCTGGTTTTGACAAACAACCTGTTCTACACTGCTACAATAACTCTACAAATAAAATCTATGTTATCCAACTGTGTCGGGCAACAGGCAAATCTATGTTATCCAGCTGTGCCATCTTTCAGGCAGCAGAAGTGGTTTGCTGTTTCACCAAGGGAAAAACCTTTACCTATGGAGGAAAGATGTCAGAAAATCCTACCGATAGCAGAAGGTGGTGCTGCCATTTCTTGCTGGGGAAAGAGAGGACAAAAGCACCAGCGTTTAATTCCTCTCCAGTTTCCAAAAATGTTGTTATTTACATAGATGTAGACTGACACACACAATCTTTCGCAATTGCCTCAGAGGGATGGATGTACTTTCCTTGCCTGTTCTTTCTCAAATCTAAGAAAAATCAAAAAGAAACTGCATATGATCAAAAGTACCCAGAGATAGGAGAGAGAAAATTAGCTGAGCTATTCATGCATTTATTTATACTGTAGAGTATTCAAGGCAACGGGCAATTATTTCAGGGGAATAAATTTGTGATGAAATTTAATTTTTAATAATTCTTATATAGAAAACTATCATTGGTATCATGATTATGCCATCACTTTCAACCCGAGATAAAAAATTAACTACTCTGTAATGGAGCACTGTGTTTTGCAGTGGATGCATCATTCAGTCCTATTTTCATTGCTTCTCTCTTATTGCCAGGCTACCTGGTTAAGACTAGAATTGTGCTTATTTTGTATAAAACTGTGACTTTCTACAAGTATCGTTCATTATAAGTGATTGTGTAGACAGCAGTACTAAATTCAGTGAACTACTTGTGAGAGTAAATTTTTGCTTAGAGTGACAGTCTGTCCTTGTGTTCTGCTTTTATCATTGCAAAACTAAAACTTAATCTTGGGCAATTTAAAACTTTTGGGGGAGTTTGCCTAAGCAAGGACTGAATAAAAATGAAGCCAAATTCAATAATTCTCTCGGAAAGGCCAATGTATTATGTTTCTTCATGCTCACCATGACAGACGTGTAACATCCCCCAGCAATGCAGTGAGTGTCATTAAAAGGTTTTCTGTCATATTTTATTTGTAAACTGAAGTACATACTATTCTGAAGAAGAATTAACAATCCTCAGACTTACCGTTAGTATCAGAATCAAACTGTGGGAAATAATTAGAAAGAGAAAACCTTTATGAAGCAACTACTGCAGGTAAAGAGTTTGGATTTTCTTTTAGCCATTATTATCATTCATTATGCTTAACTGGAATTAGTTTGGTATTTGACTATATATCAACATATATAGAAAAGAATTTATCTATAGTTGAGGAATATCATTTTCATTGCTGATTTAATGTGTGATGTTAATGCTCATGGCTGCCATGAAATAGATCATGTTGAAAAAACCTTAGAATCATCTGGTAGGTCTGCCAGCAGATTTTTTTCAAGATTACACGTGTGCTGTCATGTGTTTTGTGAAGACAGGTCAAATTCCCTTATATGACATGGAAATTAAAAAAAAAAATCAGTCATTTGCAAAATGGCACTTTGAGGGGTTTGAGGCAGTCTGAAGGCTTTAGACTAGAATATTCTTTTTATTAAAAACTTATCTAAATCACCTGAATGACTTCGTTATCTCCTCCATTTGGAGCACCATATGAGCATCACTTCTGAGCTTACAAGTGATACCATACAGCTCAGTGTAGGACGTCTGTGAGAATGGCACATATGAACAAATCGTGTTGGGAATGGATGTAAGTTTTACTTACTAAATGAGAGCACGTTGGGGGATATTGTTTTGTGAGTGTTGATTTCCTCTTCAAGTCATTGCAAAGCTCACTTCATACCTTTGCAGTGCCAGTTAAAAGAACACTGAAAACTAAAGGAGGACAAAAAAAAAAAAAAAGACGGCCACAAATTGTTGGCTTTAACATTATAACTGGAAACCCACTGGAAGCATCAGTGCTCCACTGCTTGAGGTGCTGTGTAGAGATGTAATATAACATAAAATCCCTCCTATACGTCAAACCACTGAGCAATCGGTCCTCTCTGGTACTTTTTATGGGCAGTCCCCAGAGCTCTCATGCTGGAAGGTAGCTGGGCAGCTTAGAGCTTCCTAGACACTTATCCATCATTACGAAGAATAGAAGTATGAAGGTAACAAGCTGCCGTTAACCGCAAAATTAATTAACTGTACAAGATAGATTAGTGATAGAAAAAACCCCTAATTTATTCCTCTGTATAAATGGGAGTGCCACACTTTTGCAGGCTCTTTTCTCCTTGGAAGAAAGAGAGACTGTCTGAGGTAGTGCCATGAATACTGAGTGTATTTCAATAATAATTCTTCTGTGGTTTGAGTTTCTTAGTCTCTTATTCTCTCTATTAAACAAAATAATTTTTACCAAAGTGGACCTAACCAGCTGTGCACAAGACTTCTACGTATTAGCTTTTAATTTTCTAATCTGTATTCCTGCTGCAGCAGAAACCCACTGATCCAAGCAGACTCACAGCAGAGCCTGGCAATATATGAGGGTTAATTCTCCAAGGAGCTGTCAAATTGTGCAATGTTTTTGAGGAAGGACCAGAGATACAATCATTCTCACTGTACAATTTTATTTTTTTTTTTTTAAGTTTCCACCAACTCTACAGCATTCACAGCCATTCCCATGATATTAATGTTTGATGTATGGAAAAAGTGCCAAACTTTGAAAGGAATGGGATTAAAGTATTAGGAAAAATATATCGGTTGCAGTATATTTTGGCTCGTGGTGATAGAGAAAGCCTTCAACATTCTGGCAGTTTTATGAAGTTTATTTTTATATTTTTACAACAGGGCCATATTTTTACAATTGTGAAGATATTCCGTGTGGCAGGAAACACATTGTCTCTTTCTAGAAGAAGTTGGGTTTTTTTTACGATTTCCATTTCTCAGTCATCAATATATTAATGAGTAATTTCTACAAATTAACATGGGTTGACCTTTAAGGCTTTGGTGTTTCAGTCATCTGCAGGGTTAGTGCAGCATCATTGTTGTCAGTGAACTTGCATCAGTTTAGCCTGCAGTTAATTTGGAAAGAAGACCTAAAAATTTAGGTGAATTGTGTGAAATTTAATCATCTTGATTGCTCAAAAATTTATTTTTCAATAAGGAAAGAAAACTTGCATCTGATCAGGCTCCAATTCAAGTCCATTTCCAGGTGGTCTTGTCATGGAGCAAGTTCTCACTGGGAAGTACAGACTGCACTGAACAGCCAGATTTTGTGGAGGCAAGATGGCTTTTTGACATTTTTCAGTCGTATTTGTAGAGCAGCGTTCAACTGACCTTCCTACATTTCTGCTGTAGATTAGGGAATGGAAATGGAGAGCAGTGTGTGAACAAAGAGTAAGAAAGTGGTAGAGACATGGGTAATGTTATAGTAAAGCTTAATGGAACTTTGATGTTTCATTTCATAAATAACTCAAATAGTTCAAATTTTGCTTTTCTTCCACATAGGAAAAAAAAACCCAACTAAATGCTTTTAAAATTTTCTTGAGAAAACTAATTTGACAATGCAAAGGTTTTAAAGTGACAAATAAGAAACTTAGAAATGTTGTTATAAGGTATTTTTAAGTTTTATGAGTTTTGAATTTCATTAAGTCTTGTTGTTGCAGGATAGTATCCATGTATTCTACCTACTAACAATTACGCGTTTTTCCCCCAAAATATCGCAACTGATAGGTGATACTGTTTTAAAACATAATTTTTCTTCTCTAGAGACAGTATCTTTTGGCTGTGTTGTAATAAGACAGGATGATATTTAGGATTTCATATTTAGCTTTTTTTTTTTTTTCCCAATAATTTTAAACCAAATGAAGATGGTTTTGTGCAAAGGGAAGCAATTCTTCCTTAACTGCCTGACAACCACTGGTTCGAC